AATCATGTCCTTCTCTTCACGTTCTGGATTTAGGCCTTTTCAATAGCTCAGATCAGTCCCTCCTCCACTAGGAAGATTTCCGTGACGATCTCAGCTAACCCTCCTCTGGACCCCCTGCCCCATCACCTCGCAGTAGGAAGTGTCTCTGAGTCTCAATGTCTCACTCACCCTCCTCTAACCTCCTTGAGGACTGGGTCTGGGATTCCCACAATGTCTCTCTTTATGGAACGTATTCAGTCTCTACACCTAGCCAAATGACCTGCAGAAATTCAGAGAGCATTTAGTCTACCAGATCAGCTCATAGAACCATTCTCATTTTTCATCCAAATGAGAATGCTTTAGACAAGGGCCCACGCCCCCCAGTTCTCTCCAGGTGGCTCCAGTGCCCAACATAACCCATGTCTGAAACCTGCTCTCTTGACTGATGTGTGCTATCCACCTGGCATGGAAGGCTGCTCAGGTGGGCAGACCCTCTGAGTTATGAACCCAGCACAAGCTCAGCATCCTCACCTGAACTAGAGTCAATACTTTTTTCATGTCATTTCCTCGATGGGCTCTGTACATTTCATAACTGCCTTCCTCCAATACCAGCACTTCATGAGATAGCTGTAACAATATCTACTGAGCTCTAATTATAACTGTATGCATATCTATAAAAGATTAACATTTATATCCTTTGTTCTTAATTACTACATAAAGACTCAAGAGAACTGATTTTAAGTCATTAGAGAAAAAAAGAAAGTTCATATCTGATTCTTTTTTTAAAGTAGGCTCTACACCCAGTGTGGAGCCCAACATGGGGCTTGAACTCACAACCCTGAGATCAAGACCTGAGCTGAGATCAGAAGTCGGATGCTTAACCAGCTGAGCCACCTAGTTGCTCCCATATCTGCTTCTTAAAGTCTAAGGAAAGATTTTGACATCTACTGCTACATAAATAAAAACAAAGGTTTAATTCAAAAAAAGTTATGTCCTGGAGCTATTACTTGTAGGTAAAGAAGTACACCTTAAAGTGAGCCGAGGCAGGAGCGCTGGGTGGCTCAGTCGTTAAGCGTCTGCCCTCGGTTCAGGTCATGATCCCAAGGTCCTGGGATGGAGTCCTCCAACGGGCTCCCTGCTCAGCGGGGAGTGTGCTTCTCCTTCTGCCTCTGCCCCTCCCCCCATCAGCTCATGCTCTCTCTCAAATAAATAAAATTTTTAAAAAATAAAAAATAAAGTTGAAGTGAGGCAATGTGGTAGGCAGAGGAGCACCAGGTGGTAACTACAAGGCTCTGCTCCTGGCTGACCTGGACCTTCTAGTCTCAACTTTCTTAAGTTGTTAGTAGAGGGAGGATAAAATCCTGCATATCTCAGAGTCTCTTGGTTATAATAAGATGAGAATGGCTCATTTCTTTATAGACTATAAAGTGTTAGATAAAAGCACAGAGCTGAACAGACGCAGGTTTGACACTTGGCTCTGTCTCTTATGAACTGTGATCGGAGGTGCATGATGTACCCTGTCCAAGCTCCAGTCTGTCCGTCCGTAAGACGGGTGAACAAAGATACGGCCTTATGCGCCCATCCAGCATCACTGCTGGATTCTTGTCCAAGGAGATTCAAAGCAATCAGTATTTTCTTACTAATGGCTTCCTCATATAGATTTTGAGACATTAAATGAGAAAATCCATATAAAGTGGTTTAGCACAGTGACTGGTCCAATAAATGTTCATAAAGTCAACAAAGGTTTAAAATTTTGAGAATTTAATATAGTCAGTGGTTACTAGTGTGCCTAAAGAAAGGGAGGCATGTAAATATTTACTGAACATCTACTACGTATTTGAGGCACTGTGCCAGGCACACGCCACACTTCTCTCATTTAACTCCCACAACAGCCCCAGGCGGAAATCACTGGTTAGGAAAGTAGCTGTGGCTCTGCCTGCCCACCGGGAAGGACAGGATAGCAGGGCCTAGTGGGGGAAAAAGAGGTTATGCCGTCACTGTGCACAACATGAATTTCACAGGACTCTCTGGTTCTGAGAGTGCGCCTCCAAGCTGCCCTCCACACTCCCACTTCCTGTTATTTACACGTTCCGCCTCCCTGAACCCGGTCCCAGAACCAGAGTTGGTCTGGGTGACTGAGAGAATACAGCAAAGTGAAGGAATGGAGACTTCCAAGTTTAGTTTACAAGCGACAGTGTGGCTTCCATTCTGGGTGCTCGTTCACGTTCTTGCTCTTTTTAAAAATCACTCACCCCGGGGGAGGCCCTTCACCAACGGCACCCCGGGAAGGCTCGTGCAGTAGGAGCTGAAGCCCCTGCCAACAACCCCAGGAGTAAGCTGGGAGGTGGGAGCCCCAGCCCTGCCGAACCTAGGAAGCCTGCAACCTCACAAGGCCCGGCGCCTGACCCGCCCAGCCAAGGTGCCTGGCTCCCAACTCCCAGAAACCGCGGGAGACCTGGTTTTCTGTTTTCAGTCACTAAGCTTTGGGGTCATTTTTTTCCACAGCACAGTTAGTTTCCATAACTAACACAGCTGTGTTACTACTGACAGTCAGTGGCTAGGGCTCGGGACTATTCCATACAAAGGATTTTCCTGCGCCAGATGCTCACTGAGAGAAGGCAGGCTGACCACCCAAGGATGTGAGCAGAGCAACCTGATGTGGTGGAGAGAGTCAGCAGAAATGTGTTCCCAACAATTTCAGTTGTGCCGTTTTATTCAGAGACTAGCCTCTAAAATGTCTTATGTGCTTGCTCTGATTAGAATTTAACATAACAACAAAAAAAGATTCAAATAAAAAAACCACAGTGCAGTTCTGTAATTTGAGATAGTAATTGTTACAAATCCACAGCACAAGGGAAATTCTGAAGGGCTAAGAGAAGTGCAGCCATTACACTCGGCCGCTGGGTGTCCCAGACTCAGGGTGAAAACTGGGGAGGGGCAGAGGGCAGTGCTGATCTAGGTGACAGTTTCATTAGGCATTTCAAAGAATGGGGATCCCCAGGTTCAACCTCTGAAGAGAAAGTGAGTTAGAGGTGAAAAAAAGCCCCTTGAGAATCCAGACATTGTTCTCTCAGTGCCCAGAGTCCTGCCAGTCTTCCAGGCTCATCCATCAGTGCTGCTTTAGGAATGACAGCAGGGCACCTGGTTGCCAGTGGATACGACCCAATCATCATGTGAATCCTGCATGTGCCAAGAATCCACTATATTATAACCCCGTTACTCCGAGTCCACTAAAAACATCCATACCTGACAAAAGGGCAGCTTATGAGGATAAGATAAACACAAATAGTCATTCCCCAAAGCTCCGGCTCACCTCGCAGAAGTAATTCTCCCTCTCCCTGTCATCCAGGTATGCCTCCTCTCTGCTCCCAGAGGAGCACTGAACACACTGTGCCATCGTTTGTTTACCAGACTGTCTTCCCCATTCAACTAAAGGGCAGACTTCCTTTCCTACTTCTCTAGCTTCCGACACCGATGCTGGCATATGTGCATTCAACAGTCACTGAAACAAGAGCCCCCGATGTGCCAGTTCTGTGTTAATAAGGACACTCAATCAATTCTGCGCTCAAAGGGCCTATACCCTGGTATGGGAGATGGACACGGGAACCAGCAACTACAACAGTGTGGGTGCTCTGTCAGGCTGCCAGGGCAGCAGATGGGGGGGACAGGTCACCCGGAGGGGCAGGGCTGAGGGATGCAGGGCTGGGGAAGAGGGCCTTGCTGGCGGAGGAGCAGAATGCACACAGGTGGCACAGAGAACAAGGCCAGAGGGAAGCCTGCATGGGGCATGTTGTGGCTAGTACACAGAGGGCGATGGAGAGGAGACTGGGGTGGCCAGCAGCTCCCAGGGCAGGAGAGGGTCAGTGATGGGAGACATGCTTACAAGGTCAGGGAACTGGGGGTGGGATGGGGAAGGATGTGGGTAGAGAGCTACTGAAGCAGTCTTGCTGTCCTCCAGGGCCAGAAGGCCAGCCGAAGTGGCAGAGCTGGTCTCAGGACAAAATGAAATAATAAAATAAAATAAAAAATAAAAATAATCAGAGAGCACAAGTCCTAACTAAATCCTCAAATTTAGTCCATTGCTTAGAAAGTTACCGATTCCTGGGGCGCCTGAGTGGCTTAGTTGGTTAAGTGTCTGCCCTTGGCTTGGGTCATGGTCCCAGGGTCCTGGGATCGAGCCCCGCATCGGGCTCCCTGCTCAGTGGGGAGCCTGCTTCTCCCTCTCCCTCTGTCCCTTCCCTCTGCTTGTGCTCTCTCTCTCAAATAAATAAAACCTTAAAAAAAAAAAAAGTTACCAATCTCTCTTCTAGTCAACTCATTAAAACAAACTTCCCCAAAAATTACCTTGAATGACCAACTGTTCCCCTGCCTCTATGTTTCTTACTTTTTGTTGCTTCCTTCCTCAGTTTTGGCCTTTTTCATAATTCTCTTGACCCTGTTTGGGCCACATCCTTCTCTCACAAGTGTCTGCCCCGACCCGTGCCGCTTAGGAGCTCAGAAAGGGCCTAGCTAACCTGCCCTCCACCGTGCAGGGAAGGGGAGGAAGATTGAGTCCAAGGTTGGACCAGAGGAGGGTTTGGTTAAAAGGGGTCAGAGAAACAAGGCTCCTAACTCAAGAGAAGATTAACTCCTACTTTCTGGTATTTGTATTGAAGAAGACAGGAAATAAAGAAAATTCTTGAATCAGACAATGGATCTATATGAATTCTACTTTAGTGGTAACAAGTAGGACATAAAAGAAGTCTAAGATCTAACTTTTGTAGAAGGAAGAATTTTATACCATCATGCATCTGGAAAGCTGAGCGGTGTAAACTTGAAGTTTAAATCATTAGTTTTAGAATGAGAACAGAGTTCCTTCTGTTTAACATCAATGACTGATAACCCCTTTGAAAGGGCAAAGCAAACACAGTAGAAAGGACCAACAGAGTAGGCTACCATTCATTTTATCTGACTTGTAGTTTATCAACGGTGGTCAGCATTTAATGGTTAGAAAGCCACCATAAACATCCCTTTATACTTACAGCTTCCTTCTCTCTGTCCATGATAGTTTCCAGTTCCTCAAAATGTCGAAGTTTGATCTCCAATTTCTTCATTTGTGTCTCAACCAAGAGGGCCACCAGAGACTTGATCTTTCTTTCCTCCACAGCAGCCAGATGCTAAGTGTAAAAGATCATTCAAATTATTTAGGTAAACATTTGTTTAAAATAGAGCAACAAGGGGGGCCCGGGTGGCTCAGTCGTTAAGCATCTGCCTTCGGCTCGGGTCATGATCCTGCGGTCCTGGGATCGAGCCCTGCATCGGGCTCCCTGCTCCGCGGGAAGCCTGCCTCTCCCTCTCCCATTCCCCCTACTTGTGTTCCCTCTCTCACTGTGTCTCTCTCTGCCAAATAAATAAATAAAATCTTGGGCACCTGGGTGGCTCAGTCGTTAAGCGTCTGCCTTCGGCTCAGGTCATGATCCTGGGGTCCTGGGATCGAGCCCCGCATCGGGTTCCCTGCTCCGCAGGAAGCCTGCTTCTCCCTCTCCCACTCCCCCTGCTTGTGTTCCCTCTCACTGTATCTCTCTCTGCCAAATAAATAAAATCTTTGGAAAAAAAATAAATAAAATAGAGCAACAAAATGCTGAAGTTGCTATTCAAAGTAGGGATTATAGAATTAAGAATGGTGCCCTAGATGCCTCCTTTGTATGTCTCTGCCAAACATTTACTTCAATTTAAAATAACTGTTGCTGAATTTCTGGTCCTTATAGGTATAAATAACCCTTTTAAAGGGTTAAAAAAAAAACCCACAAAACCCTCCCATGGTAAACTATGACCAACTGTTCCCCTGCCTCTATGTTTCTTACTTTTTGTTGCTTCCTTCCTCAGTTTTGGCCTTTTTCATAATTCTCCTGACCCTGTTTGGGCCACATCCTTCTCTCACAAGTGTCTGCCCCGACCCGTGCCGCTTAGGAGCTCAGAAAGGGCCTAGCTAACCTCTCAAAAAGAGCCCACCAGGAAGGGGCAGTTTAATCAGGACCCTGGCAAAGAGGACACAAGTAACCTGGGGTACACCTCCCCATCTGCCACCCACTTACCCCGCACCCTCACCCCTCTACTCTATGCCTCCCCTCATTATACTTCCGTCCTCAGGAACTGTCCAGGGACAGCTAAGCAGTGGCTTCCCCCCACACCCAACATTCAGATGTAAAGCCTCTGCTTTCTCTCTAGTGAGTGGCACTGGCTGTGGAAAGGAGGGGGTGAACAATATTCCACCTCTACGTTTGAGGATAGGATCTGGAGCAAGAGAAACAAATATAGTACAGGACAAGGAGTTATTCTGGAAGAATGTGCTACTCGCCTGCCACAGGATGATGAGCCCTATTCACACTTCTTGCCTACTCAGGAGCACACAGAGGAAGGTACCACATTACACAGAGAAGATGAAAGGCCCATATTTCACCGTGACTACCTGTACCTGGCCAGGGGTCAATCCCACTTTCCCCAGACACCATCCAAGAGCTGCGCCAACAAACTCCCAACACCATTCTGCATTCACTTTTGTTATATCTGCTGAATTTACTCATCTTTCTTCCACACAAGTGAGAAGTAACATGGAGCAGCTGTCTTACTGATCTCTGTTTCACAGAGAATCTAGAAGGAGCTAACATGCAAGAGACATTTAACACAGGTTTTGGGGAGCTAACTTAATAGACAACACTTAAATGAGAGTCTAATTTTTCACTCTTTTATAGTTAGAAATACAGTTTTATACCATAGAGATCCATCTATAGGAAGATGCAGAAGTATAAGCAAAAGGTGACAATGAGCAGGTTTTATGAACGAATCTACAGTTGTTCATGAAGTGTTTGCCTCCCTAATCACATTTTGAGCTATAGATCAAGTTTAAATAAAGATTACATGATCCTAAGCCTGCTATCATTGTATAGTGTTACGCAATTTGTATTTCTGAACAAGAAATGCAGCACAACATAAAATCAGAAGTTTATAAGGACACATCACACAAGAAACGGGTCTCCCTTCACATGTTACCGGCTTGCCAACCAGTAACCCCACCTTCGGAGAAGACTCATGTTATCAGTTCCCAGATCTATTTCTAAGAGAATAGAACCTGTAGAACTCTGATGGCTTTGGCAGAAAATGTTCTATTTTTTTGAGAATTATACAGGCAGTTGGGAACATCCCCATGTACTACTACACCAACACACCAAACTATTTCCTCTCAAAACTGAAGATCAAGACTTTTCAAATAGAAAGGACCACCAAGTAACAAGAAAATAAAAACTGAAAAAATACACAGCAAGGGACAACTCTGGAAATTTAAGACCATGAAACAGTGAAATCCTACAGCAGTTTCCAGATAAAGAAATAAAAAAGTAGATTACAAACAAAAATTCAGATTGCAACAGACTTTTCTCACAAACAAAACTAGGTTTTTGAAAACAATGGTAAAATACCTTCCAATTCCGAGGGATAACACATTTCAATTTAGAATTTCAAGTACATCAGAGCCCTGCATCGGGCTCCCTGCTCCGCGGGAAGCCTGCCTCTCCCTCTCCCATTCCCCCTACTTGTGTTCCCTCTCTCACTGTGTCTCTCTCTTTCATTTAACTCTCTCCAAGTTAAATGAATTAAGGGTAGGCATAGGATAAAGACATATCTGAAATCAAGGACTCAAAAAGTTTACTTCCGGGGCTCCTGGGTGGCTCAGTTGGTTAAGCACCTGCCTTTGGCTCAGGTCATGATTTCAGGGGTCCTGGGATGGAGCCCTGAGTTGGGCTCCCTGCTCAGCAGAGAATCTGCTTCTCCCTCTCCCTCTGTCCCTCTTCCCTGCTTGTGCTCTCTCTCTCAAATAAATAAAATCTTAAAAAAAAAAAAAAAGTTTAATTCCTACACCTGTTACTGAAGGATATGGTCCAGTTAATTTAGTGTAAAACCAGAAAAAGGCAAAGACATGAGATCAAGAAGTCACAGACTCAACCTAAGAAAGAAGCCCTAAGTCCATAGGGGGTCACCAACAGGCCAAAAGTAAATAGGAACGAATGAAACAAGACTGGCAAGGTGTTGAAAACCAAAACTGGTGATGGATACACAGAGAGTCATTATACAATTCTATTTCTGTATATATTCTAAGAGTTCTATAATAAAGTTTAAAAGGTGGTGGTGGGTGGGTCAATAGCTGATGCCATGACAACTGGATAGCCAAAGCAAAACAATGAATTTGGACCCTATCTCATATCATATATAAAAATTAACTCAGTAGGTCAAAGATCTAAAGGTAAGAGCTAACATTAAAAAAGTTCTGAGAAGAGGAACACCTGGGTGGCTCAGTTGGTTAAGCATCTGACTCTTGGTTTCACCTTAGGTCATAATCTCAGGGTCGTGAGATCAAGCCCCACACTGGGCTCTGTGCTAAGCATGGAACCCGCTTAAGATTCATTACCTCCTTCTGCCTCTCCCACTCGTGTGCTCCCTCTCTAGGGAAAAAAAAAAAAAATTCTGAGAAGAAAAAAACAGGAGTAAATCTAAATGATCTTGGGGGTGAAGTAAAAGATTTCTTAGATGTGACATCAAAAGTCTAAGTGACAAAAGGGAAGATTAAGAGGTTGAACTTCATCAAAATGAAAAACATCACTGCTTCAAAAGACCCCATCAAGAAGGTGAAAACACAGCTCACACACTGTGACAAAATATTTGCAAATCATATGTGTGATGAGAGATTTGTGTCCAGTGTATAACGAAGAACTGTTGCAACTCATGGCTCTGGATGAAGTGATGCTGGCAGAGATGTGGGGGGACTTCAAATACAAGCTGGTCACCATCTCAGACACATGGGAAATTTTGAAGATGCAGAGTCAGGTTCAAGGAAAGACAGAAATTCCTGTAAACTCCCTTTTGAAGTGATAAAGACTCCTTCAAAATCCCAATCGTAAGTTCTGCAGAGTCACAGCCAAGGATCAGGGGTGGTCCTGGAGGAGAAGGACCAAACTGCCATCTAGCTTCACCTCAGCCCTCACCCTTTCTCAGGTTTGTCACCACCACAAAGGAAGGCTGAATCGTATAGATGGACTACATCATCACCTGGGGCATCTAAATTTTATGTATATATAAAATACTTTTTTCTTCCTATTCGGAGAATCTGAATTTTTATACATATCTGGCATTTAATCAAAACAGCAGATCCACAGATGGCACAGACATTGGACTTAGCAGGCAAGAACATTAAAATATGTTAAAATCACTCACTATGTATAAGAAAATGTAGGAAAATATGGATAAAAAGAGAATTTCAATATATTTAGAATTTATATAAGGATCAATATACACCTGAAATTATGATTAAAATATATGATAACTGAAATAGTAGCTCCAAGATTAGGTTTAAAAGCAGAAAATTTGCCTAATGAACTGAAAGATAGGTCAACAGAAAATACTCAAACTGTATCAGAGAGAAAAAAAAAACAAAAAACAAAAAAAAGAAAACCGCACCACCAAGCATAAGAGACATGAGAAACAGGCAAAAGGCATAACATTTCTGTAGATGGCATCACAGAAGCGGACAGAAAATGAGGTAGAAGCAACACAGAGGACACTTGGAGAACAAGAGTTTGAGCTGTGAAAGCCCACTTAAACGTGTCTTTTCTCTTATGAATTTCTTAACATTTTCTTTTCTGTAGCCTACTTTATTTAAGAATACAGTATATGATATATATGTAATGTACAACATATGTCTTAACTGTTTATATTATCAGTAAGTCTTCTGGTGATCAGCAGGCTATTAGTTCAGTTTTTGGGGAGGCGAAGTTATACGCTGGTTTTCGACTGTGGGGAGGGTTGGTGCCTCTAACCCCCGCATTGTTCAAGTGTGAACTGTATTCAACAAGGTAATGGGTGACAATGTCCGAAAACAGATGAAACAGATCAATGTTTCAAGCTCAGCAAAACCCAAGGAGTGAAAATGCAACAACAAAAATCTTAACAAGGTACACTACAGAGTACTAAAACCAAAAAGATAATCTGAAAAGTATCCAAAAGGGGGAGGGGGGCACAGCATCCTTAATCACCTCCAATGGCACAATAAGGCTTACAGTTGGTTTACTAATAGTTACAGTGGACAATGGAATGGGACTTTTTTTAAATCCTGAAAGAAAATAACCGC